ACAAAAGAAGGATTTGGGCTTAACTCTATCCAATACTTTCTGATAACCAATAGATGAAAACGATAAAACATTTCGGTCGAAAAATTCAGATACGATAATTCCTGAATGTACTCAAAAATTGTCATTGAAATAGCAACCAAACGATCAAAATAGTGTACAATCAAAATTTAAAAAAAATTGAAAAACAAAATTTTCAACAAAAGAAAGCAAACATTACAAACAATTGCCACAAAAAACTTGCAGACAATCTGAAAAAAATCTGACAGCCTATAAAAATAACGCTATTACATCAAAAATTATCAGTTATGACATTAATACGCAACGGTGAAAGACCTAGATCAAAACAAAAAAATAACATTTAAAAATGCCAAAAGAGGAAATGAAAAGCATGAAAAATTTTCTAAAAAATCCACAAAAAACTCAGACGTCTAAATTTCGTGCAGAACATATCACCACAATTCTTTGTGAACAAAAACATGGAGTCAAATTTGCAAAAAAAAATCTGGAAATTTATCAAGTTTTTTTTGACAAATTGAAACTATACGTCTAGCCATAATTTAATCGATTTCAAATAAAATTTCTTTAATCTAAAACGCACTTTACTAATTGAAACTAAAACTAGTTTCACGTACTTTCAGAACAAAAAAAATCAAAAACCAAGCATCCAAAAAGATGAAACTTTATTTGCAGAGAAACTCAAAGTTTTATTTCTAAGAGAACATTTTGGCTCCTATTAAAACCAGAAAACCATGAACTTTTTTTTACCCCCATAAAAATGAAAAAAAATTATATCAAAAACTCTGCCAAAAAATTACAGAATTAAATACCCGGCAAGTAAGCCGACAAAAATGGGATCGAAATCAATAAAGCCGACAAAAAACCAAGTTACATGTATGAATCTTTTTCAGCTGTCAGGTAATTAACACTATAGTCGTTGGAGCAAGCTTTTGAACTACAGCTGTTCAACTTCCAGCTTGAGTAGAAATAGAGAATAGAATTACATTTGTAGATGAACAAATTTCAGTCATCCTGTAGACAAAAAGGTTTACGAGAAAAACGTTTAGTACACCATTGTAAAACCCTTGCTTGTCGCAAGGGTAACAAGTAACACAGTTACTTGCAATTAGTCCGACCTTTTCAGCCAGTTCCAATTTTATGATCAAAAATTTTTCGCGAAATTAATCTAACTGGAGAAAACTGACAAATCGGTAATTTTTCAACCAATTAGTAATTTTTTTGAATATTTCAAGTGTCGTTCGAATCACGACTGAAAGGTATCTGAAATGATATATCACTCAACTTTCTCCCATGATTATTTGTGGTAGCTGATTTTACGTGGAAAACAAAAAAAACTAATTCAACTGAATGCAAAGCTCCTCCCCATTTTGTAAATAGTCGAACAATAACGATGGGCTAAGTGACGATCCTTGATGCACGCCTACTTTAATTTCAAAGTAATCACTGCATTCTCGCGGCCGTCGAAATCTTCATTATTCGTACCGGATTTTTGGTAACTATCTTGTTGTTTCAGAGCCCTAGGAACACGGTCCAAGACTTTTTCCAGATCAATAATTATGTGATGCAGGGTTTTTACTTTTCCGACACTAATTCCATCAAGTATCCAAGTAGAAAAACGGCATCGTAAGTTGATCTACGACTCATAAAGCCAAATTGTATGTCAAGAAGCCAAAATCTTAAAACAGCAAAACAAACATTTCAAAAAATGTCAATTTTATGGTTGAAAATTTTATCGTGAAAGTAGCCCAACGAGATAAAACAGTGATTGTTTCGAATCAAAAGTTTAACCTAGAAAAAAAATCGAAAACCGAAAAATCAGATTTCAGAAAGATCAAATTTTCAATACTTTTTTCGAAAAAAATGAAAACAAGAACAAACAGACGAAATAAGTGATAAAGACTTCAACACAATTAACAGCTCGTGAAAAATGTGTCAATGACCTCAAGACCATAAAATATAAAATGGTTAATTTTTGAAAGGAATTTCCAATTTTCGGAAAAAATAAATTGTCTTATGGCGCATTAATTTTCAAGAATACTAGCGTGTAACGCACCTCCGATGCTTCGAGTTTATGACAACTCATAAGGAACCGAACATAAAGGCAAAATAACTGCATCCTTTTAATGTACTCTGACAGCAACCAACTACAGATTTTTTTATTCAAATTTTGAAAAACCATACAATTTTTTTTAATATTTAAGTTCGTTGCACATTTTTAATACGACAGAAAAACTTCACATCTAGAAAACTCAACGCAATTGAGCAGTCAGTCTCATTTGGACGCAAGAGTTGCAACTTCTGAGAGTACTCACAGTACCCAACTACAGTGTAGGGAATTTCATATTTTTTAAGAAGCTTCAAATTAAACATTTCTATACATTTTTTTTAGAAAAAAAACAAGAAAAGTGCCAAATCTCGGAAACTATAAAAATTTGGAGGCAAGATTTGCAACTCCTGAGACCTTGAGAGTACTCTGACAGCCCTCACTAGATGTAAAATTTCTGAAAATTTTTGAGAGAATAACAAGAAACGTCATATCTTGAAAACTACCAGAACTTGAGCAGTCAAATTTGAAAGACAAATTTGCAACTCTTTGGAGCACCCTGACAGAGCCACACTTTAGAGATGGGAACATCAAATTTTTTGAAATTTTTTAAACCTAATTCTGTGAAAAAATCTAGAAAAACGTAAAATATCGGAAACAACAAAGACTTGAGCGGTCATATTCAGCGGTAAGATTCGCAACCCCCTGAGAGTACACTGACAGCACCCAACAACAGGGTTGATAATTACAAATTTTGTGAAATTTTTCAAATTTAGGATATATAGAAATTTTTGAAAAATCTCGAAAATTGCCGTTTCTCGTAAACTAGAAGGATTTGGTTATTCATATATGGAGGCCAAAAATCCCAAAACCTGAAAAGAACTGAACGCAACCTAATATTGGGATGCTTATTTCAAATTTGGTGAAATAAACACGCAAATGAAACTGGAAAATTGAAAAAAAATCTTAACCATTGCAATATACGATATAGCTAAACGTGAAAAAACTCTTTCGTTAAACATGCAAAATTATTACGCTTAAACATGGAGAGATAGCTGTCGCGCGCATTTAAATAAAGTATATATGTTTCATTCAAACTTGATTAAAATAACCTAATTTGAGACAACTGTATCGATGGATAACTCCTACATTCCTCTGGGAATTCAGAAAACTAGAAACCACTTTTGATTAACAAAGAAGAATAAACTCACGTTTATTTCGCGCCATTTGCTCTTTTCTTGAATTTCCTCCGAATAAAAAACACCACGACCTATAAAAGACTTCACTACTTTCAATGATACCTTATTATTGTAATTACTTTTGAAACACTACTGAACAATCATAACTGAGTAGATTGACACCCATTGAGTCGAAAATGTTATTCTCGGAAATTTATTTGTCGTTCGAATTACGGATGAAAAAGCTGTTGATATATCACTCAACCCAATCTGACGATTATTTGCGGTACCTGATGTTGGGCGGAAAGCAAAAAGAAAAAACTACAACACACCCCAATACAAAGTTCCTCCCCATTTCCAATGGTCTGAAAAATTATAGAAAATCATAAGTTGTTAAATTACAAACTCATGGAAAAACTCGAAAAACCTATGCTTTTGAAAGTAAGCAGAGAAAAAAAAGGTTAGCCGGTAGCTGTGCAAGTAGCACAAAAAGTTTCCAACAATATTCTTAAAACAATACGTAAGATTTTTTCTATTTTTGTTTCAATATACTGTTGTTTATTTTTGTGTATGGTTTAATGAAAGGATCTGAAGAAAACCTGAAACTGGTATATTCAACAGTCACAGCAAAATAGGAAAATTGGGAAACGGTTCTTTCGTTTTGCTTTGTTTTGAAAAATTGTGGTTGTTTGAATAAAAGGGTTTTTAAATGAAATATCACTCGACCCATTCTGATGATTATTTGTGGTAAATTTTTTGGTTGAAAACAATAAGCATGCTCGCCCACATTCTCTAAAAATAGACAAACAAGTTTTCTCGACACTAAGAACTTTTATTCAACATTTTTAATGTCATTCAAATCACGACTGAAAGGGCTTCAATATGATATATCACTCGACTTATTTCTATGATTATTTGTGGTACCTGAGTTTTTAAGTACAAAACAAAAATGAAATAAGAATAGCCGCTTTCTGTGCAACTAGCTTAGAATGTTCCGGCCACAGTCTTGAAAGTAACTCTGCCCATTTCGATGATTATTTGTGGCACCTGATTTTGCGAAGAAAACAAAAAGGAAAAACAGGAAAAAACTAAAATGCACCCGAAAACAAAGTTTCTCCATGTTTTTCAAATGGTCGGAGCAAATCAAGAAAAGAAAAACTAAAATACACCCGAATACAAGGTGTCTTTAAATGATGGGAACAATAAGCGGTAGTCCGACAATTAAAATCTTTTCTAAACCTAAAAGAAAATAGTTTCATGCTATTTTTTTTTTCAGAACGGAGAATCATTCTCGTTTCACTCCATGTGTGAATACAAATGAGAATACACCGACTAGACAGAAAACTACCAACGAAAGGGTTGTGCTCAGAAACGTCAAAGTAAAATCCGTCATCTAAACGATTTACCTAACAAATTTCTACATTTTCAAGTTATCAACATAAGTTTTGAAAATTAGCCTAAAACTTTCAATTAAAACTTTCTTTGTAAAAATGACCTGACTAAGAACGGTCGCATTCAGTTTCTTCGCCACTTGTCACGACACACCAGCAACCATAAAAACAACAAAGAAGCGCGAAACTGCACTTCGTGGACATTGGGGGAAAATAGGGAATATACGACTTACTACGAATAATAATTTTTGCCTCTTTAAATATGATGCAAAACTCCATAAATAAAACATCTAGCTGTGCTACGTAACTCGTTTGAAACTAAACTAAATCGAAAAATTGATTTACATGATATTTATTGAGAAACTCAGAGATTATTAAATGACGACCAAGTACGTGTAATCATACTAAAAATTATTGATTTCAGAGGTCAGTTTTGCAGTCACTTAGCAACTAAATTCAGATAAAATTTATCTTTTATTGCACTAAAATTATCAACAATTGAAGAAGAAATAGAAAATTTTTTGGAAAGAAAGCCTTGAATAGATTGTGTTTTTACAGAGTGAGCATTAATATCGCACCTTTTTGCAATCGTATAGCCAAATAAAATATCTTAGTTTAAGATGTATTAACCATCTACAAACAGTGATTTTACTCCGCCCCTGAAACTCATTACAAAAATAGATCACAAAATTGGGCGTTTTGTGCAAAATACAGATAGATAAAGTTTGTAGCAAATTCAAGAGTCAAGTTACAGAAAAACTATCGTCATGCTGATTGTAGAATTGAAGCTAAGTCAGATCACTGTCTCCACTTTAGACCGTCTGCTTGTGGACGTTGCGGGTGACGCCAATGCATTTTTCGAAGCGATAGATAGGCGTGAAAAATCGCCCGTGGAACTCTCAGGTTCGATAATTGTTTCAAGTTTCGGTTTGCGACACAGAGCTGCTCGTCTAGCCGCCTCGCCGTGGTTGATGTAATTGCTTTTCATTCCGACAGCCGGCTGCGAACCTGACTGGGATCCTCCGGAACCAGAGCTGGCAGGATCTGTTGGACTCTTTGCCGACGGACTGATTACTGGCTCAGGAACCGCTTTGCTGAGACCTCCAGTGTGAATAAAAAGATTAGCAGATTCTCTGGGTTTTCTAGGGAGAGGGGGAGGGGCTCGTTTTTGGTATATTAACGTCGGTTCTTTCGGGGGTAATGGGGGCGGTCTACGAGGCATTGGTATTGAAGGTGTTGTAACGTACACTGGATTCGATCTTGCCAAGTAATTAGGATTATTTGGGTTCATATTTACATCATGAGTTGGGTTCATTGCCCTCATATGAGGTGATACCGGTGGGAAGGCATCCAGGTGCGGGTTGGGCCTGTACGGTTCCTGATTTGAAGTCTGGCTATCGAGAGATCCTTTCCGGCTTTGCGGTTTCCGCTCATAGTTAACAATTCTGTTCGACATCTGAGTTTGAGGATCGTATGACTGTAGATGAGTCAAGTCTACCAGACGCATGTAGTCCGACTTCTTGACTGCATCATCTTTCGATGTTTTTGGAGGACAGAAATACTGTTTCGTTCCGCTATTGGCTGACGAGGTCTGAGGTTGGTTCGCCGTTTGTCGCGTCAGTGGAGAACAGGGCGCTGGTTGTCTGCATCCCAAAGGTGAAAAGTGATGGTAGTCTGACAAGTTACCACGTGAAGGCGTCAAGTTCACCGGTTGACCTTGCTGCTGCCCCATGAACGCACCTTGAGTTGGAATAAGTGTGCCTGACTCAGTCAACGCACTTTGCTGACTTCCTAAGGAGTAATTGGAGGACTGCTGCACGTGGTGTCCCATCATCTGCTGTCCCTGCTGGAATCCGAAGAAGGCCTGCGACATTTCTCCTCCAGGTCCCGGCGACAACTGGGGGAAATTGGGCGAGTTTTGTTGCGAATACTTCATAGTGCCATCGCGCATGTTTAACGTACTACTGTTGAATGAAGAAGGCATTTCGCAATTAAACAACGGGTGGCTGAATTTTGAGTCTTTTCCATGAGAAGATGGACCATTGAGTCGAAATACTTTTGAGATTTTGTCGAAAACAGACAGGCGCCGCTGCTTCTTTTGAATCTGCTTTTCCCTCGACTCTTGTTCTTGCTTCCACGCCTGCTGTAAAATGGACATTTGCAGATACTCAGTGGCTGTTTCATGGGATGACATCGGCTGCTGATTTTGAGGTAAAACTTGAGTTCCTGATGGGTCACAAAAAGTGGAGTCCTGCATGGAATAACTGAGGTAGCTCTGGTTGAACGAGTGGCTCTGCGAAGATGGATCCTCCGATGAATGCTCTCCAAGGCTGGACGCAACTGCGTGATCAAAATTATGATAACCAATCACTGCCTTGTTTTGGTTGTGAGGGGAAAATTGCGACATTATTGACATGTTCGGCTGTTGAAATGAGGTAGAAATCTTAGCTGCTGCAGTTTCTCCTGAGGATCGTCTTTCATTTGCCTTTATACTATGTCCTATAGTATTCGTATGTTCGGCAGCACATGGTTCGTCATAGTGATTATATATTTGTTCTTCGTTATCAACAACGGCACCTTTCCTCGAATCTAGGGATCCTTGGTTATTTTCAATTCTCTTAGTTATTGCTCGCTTGTCTAGACTGGAGTTTGCCGACGATGAAGACACGCTGATGTTGGGATCCGTAGCGCTTTGATTGATTCCAAAAGCAACAACATCGTTCGTTGCTCCTCCTAAGGACTGGCAAGAAAAGTGATCTGAGGAGATGGACAAAGCTGCACTTTGACGATGTTCACTTCGCATGGTGTTCTTGTTCGACTGAAGAGAGTTTAGAAATCGGCTGTTTCTCTGTTGCGCTTCTAAAGCAACTCGACTAGGCAAAGCAGGGGCAGTAGTATCGTTAGCAGCACTGGTCGAATAATTATCCGTTCTTTTGTTGGGTGAGAAGTTCTGGTTTGCACTTTCCGGCAAACTGCCATATGCTTCTAATAACTGTACGATCTCTTTATGGCCGTTTTTGACCGCAATTCGCATTGGATTCCTTCCATGCTCGTCTTCATGCTGCGGATCAGCCTGATGATGCAACAAATACTTGACCGTATCCAAGTGACCTTCTTGCACGGCTATGACTAAGGCTGTTGCTCCTTGTTTGCACGAGTGCTCGATGTCCGCTCCGTAGGCCAGCATAAGTTCGACCACATCTTTCCTATTTTCCCAAGCAGCCATTAGCAGTCCAGTGAGACCTTCGTTGTCAGCTTGATAACAATCAGCTCCGTTTTCTAGTAAAAGTTGACACATATCTACATGCCCCACCCATGCAGCTACAATCAATGCAGACCTGCCATTATTGTCCACACTATTTACATTAGCCCCCTTGTCAATCAAGTGCTTCACCATTGTCACTTTGTTGTCCTGTGCTAGAAAGTACAAAACTGTGCGACCTTCTGGATCTCTTATTTCCAGATCACAGCCGATTGATTGAAAGTGGTCCACAATAGGAATCCTTTCTTCCAACGCCGCAAAACGGAACGCGTCCAGACCATTATGAGCTGTATGTTTGTAATCTGCGCCTTCTCTTAAGAGGTACTTGAGCGCAGATAAGCTTCCATTTTCGGCAGCGTAAATCAAAGGTGTCTTTCCATCGTTGTCTAACTCGTCCAGCCTCGCTCCGGCTTCTAGAAGCATATGACACATTTCCACAGTTCCCTCGCTCGCCGCCAGATGCAGTGGGGTACAGCCAACGTCGTCCTTGTGGTTCTCGTCCAAATTGTGTTCTATGAGGATGTTGGCCACTTCCACGTGTGCTTGGAGTGCTGCTAGTGACAGTAGAGAGCGGCCTTCACTGTCCACTACGTCCTGCTGTGCTCCCCAGTTGATCAAGGCTATCACTGTAGCTGCCTGACCACCGTGCACTGCGTGGTATAGAGCAGTTCGTCCTAGTGAGTCTGAGAATTGTGCACTCGCTTTTCCTCTGCTCAGAAGCAACTCTACAATCTAAACAAAGTACACTTTGCATTCAGTTACTGCCATTCAAATTAGTTTTCATTTTCGAGAAGACTGAGCTTCGATAAGAAACAAGTCAACATTCTCTTTTCACTTTCTTCATGCAAGTAGCGACCGCGCCCACAGATTTCCGCCCGAGAATTGCCCAAATATACATTCCCAGGTCCTCTCTTCAGACAAAGAAAATTTTTTTTGTTTAAATTCTGCGTTAGATCCCCTCAAAATTCGTTCATATTATCGGCAAAGGCTCTTTCATAACATTTTTTTAAGCGGTCGATCAAAAAAGAGTACGATAAAGTGAACCAGAAGGAAGCCTTTGGGTCAGGCAGCTACAGTGGTCAGGCAGCTACAGTAACCCTATGACATTCTCTTAAATCCTCCCTACTTTTCAATCACACTAGACACCATTTTTACGCAATGCATGAGCTTCAATGAGCTTAAACCCACATTGATCCTGTATTAAGTCAAAGCTATTAGATGATTACTGACCCTGTTGTGTCCCTGTGCGGCCGCTATGCCCAATGGAGACATGCCATCACTGTTCACATAGTCGACTGTGGCCTTCGCCTCCAGCAACACATTTACCTAAATATCACAACTTCCTCAGACAGCACGATACACCACGGATAATAGGCACAACACACAACAATGCGTTTTAAAGGATAGGGCTTACAATGGCACTGTGAAAAACATAGCCAACAGACAGTTGGAAAAGAGTCAATGAACGGAGGTAAACGGAAAAAATACACTGACTTGTTTTTCGAAACAATCTCAACCTTTAAATTTCCGAAAAAAATAGACGGTCTTAAAGCGCTTTGAATTTCTAGAACAATTTATTATTGACAATTTTTTGATAAAATTAACCCTATTTGTACACTCGAACTATAGTTAAAATGTTTGATTCGCTGGGATTCTGATAATTTTCGAAACTAGAAGTCGATCACATTTTTCGATAATGGAGTTTGCCTTCCTTTTAACGAAGGAAATGAAGTGATCTCAACGAAGAAATCATAAAACAAACCGCGAAAAATCAAAATTTGTTCTACATTTCCCGTGTTTTGTTAAGATGCAATTTTAGTAGGTTCTTGATCCAACTGACCGTGTCCGCGTGTCTCTCGTGCTGTGAGTTGAGGAATGCAAACACCAGTGCAGTGTGTCCGGCTGAGTCGGTGTGGTCTATGAGTGCACCCCTGCTCAACAGCATAGACACTATGTCCACGTGGCCAGCATACGCACACGCTATCAGAGCAGTGCGCCCCAAGTTGTCTTCACTGTTCACGTTCGCACCACCCTCCACCAACTGAAACCCAATTACATCATACATAATTTGTTGAACAACGCAAAACATTCCAAACCACATTTATCCCAACTATACCCCTCAACAACTGGCCAGATTGCCCAAGTCCCAAGTGCTCTACTGTTGCGTGCAACAACACGATAATGGCGACAAACTACCACAATTCGTTTTTTTTTTCAATGAATCGTTCAATTTGACAACCTCAGATTTCTTAAATAATGCAGGAAAGGTATGCTTTATAAAAATCAATTCAATTGAAAAACGGTATCGATGCGTTTTTTTTTGTATTTCAATGAAAAAAGTTTTTTCAATTTATTTCAAATATTTTGCAAAGTTCATAACGAGTTGTACCAATTGTGCATTCGTATTCGACAACAAAGAGAGCAAATAATAAAAAGTGAGCTAAATTAAGATGTGAGAGTTAAAACAGTCACCCAGTAAATAGTCATCAAAAGACCAATTTAAAAAGCAAAGCAAACAAAAGATTAACTCGTCAAAAATTCTCGTGTAAAAAAAACATAGCCAATCCAAGATTGGCGAAGAGTTAAGATCGCAAGTGAACATGAAAAAAAAAACACTGACTTTCTTGAAAAAATCTCAAATTTCGAATTTCAAAGAAAAAAATGGATGCCCTTTAAACTCTTTGAATTTCTAGAAAATTAACGACGGGCGCTTTTTTTGATAACATGAACCCAACTATAGAAAACTGGATCAATAGGGAAAATTTTCATTCCGCTGGAAATCTAAAAAATAAATTCCACTTTCGAAACTAGAAGTCGTTCACGTTTTTCCGCGCTATTCGTTTTTGGAGAGTGCCATTTACGCCACTTTCCGCATATGAACTTCAATTGAACTCAAAAATGCATATATACCTAAGTGCATTCATAAATGCATCAATATGTATGAATGTACATCTCTAATTATTAGAGACTTTTAAGACTTTTCCTGAAAAAAAATCAGCAAGACCTATATAAGAGTCTTCACTACGTTTATTACTCTTAATCAGAAAAAAAAACTATAAGCAAAGGCGAAAAGAACAAGGCTAGGTCGTTGCTGTGCAAGGAGCATAGAATGTTCGGACCACATACATACAAAACCATACAAAAGTTTTTAAAATTTTGTTTTTAAATTAGTGTCTTTTTAGAGCGTGGTGTAATGAAAGATTTGTACAAATGCGTAGAAAAACCAATTTTTATGAATAGAACGTAACTCGATTGCCTACTCGCTCGAAATTAGACTAAAACTCAAAAATTTTGTCAGCACAAAAGATTTCAATGCAAAACTACTGAATATAATAGTCCGAAAAACATAGCAAAAAAGTACAAAAACAACCAAAAAGTTCCAAGAATGGTCGCGAACTAGTCCAAAAAAATTGTCCCATAAATAACTGTTCCAGAAAAAGATTAGAAAATTTTTCTCAGTTTAAAAACACTTTGGTTCCAACTTATCCAGATGACAAAAGGTAGTATAGCTGAGAAATTAGAACAACCTAGATAACAGCAGCGGCCACTCATTGAAAGCAATAGTACCCGAAGTATGAAAGTTAGTGCAATTTAAAAAATGGACTCTTTAATTAATCCATGCAAAAAAATACAGGTTGTTCAACTTGTTTCATTTGCGAACACTTGGCAACACTCAATAGAAAGGAAATTCAATAACTATCGATGTAACAAAAATACTGAGTTACTGATTTTTGAAGGGTATGCTTATATTAAACACCGAACAGAGTCAAACGACTCCCTTTCTTGGCACTGCATTTAAAGTAGTTGGAATGGACGTGTGCGTACAATTGAGGACTCCGTGGAGATCGTTTAAGATCACTGCATGTTCCCCGATCCGATTGACATCGAAAAACGTAAGTTCAGAAAAATGATCGAGCAGCAGTTTCGGATGTAACATAACGGCAGAGTTTTTTTCGCAGCCTAGCGTGATGGTAACCGAGAAACAGCTGTTGATTTACCAAGTTAATTCTGCTAGTCAGCAAGCTATAAACAGAGTTCGACGCGGAAAAAGACCAAAGATGGCAGAGCCAACTTCGCTGACTCGCTTTGAATCACCACTGGCCCTACATAAAACTCACGATAGGTAGCAGCTCCTTTCGCACGATTCTGGTCCCCAAGATGAAAATCGGTTTATCACATGATTGGTTCTCGATTGGCTCCCAATGTATTCTATCAAAATTATACAATACACGCTTTAGTAGAAGTGCCTTATTCCTCTTGTTCACACTCTGCTAACCGACAAAAAAGGAAACAACTCATTCTCGCCTCATGTTGTATAAGTTGAAACCCCAAAACGCGTTACAATTGATTTTGTTCAGTCGTCAAGCAAAACACAACAATGATCCTAATTTTTGTGAGATTCTATGGATGCTTCTCGTAGCAGCCTTTCTCCACGTGGAGGACGTCCCCGCTGCTTTCGAGCTTCTTCAAGGTATTGCATCAGAAGAACATCAACCGATATTCAACTATTTTGAGGACACAGTGGTAGGCTAACTTTAAGGACGACAAAAGCCAATATTTGACATGGAGCAATGGCGTTGCCATCAAAAAGTAGAAAACGACATTTCCCGCACCAAAAACGCGGTAGAAGGTTGAAACAGCATTTCCGTAATACTAGGCGACAGTATGCATCCCTCATTTCCAAAACTCATCGAGAAGTTCAAAGACGAGCAAAAGAATGCAGATATTCATTTAGAAAAAACGCGCGCAGGAAAAGAAGTAGCGAGACCCAAAAAAGTTTAACGCTAAAAAATCGACAAAAACTTGATCACTAGGTCATATTGACCCTAGGATAATATTGATTTTTTGAAAATATTAAATTAGGAAACTAAATTATAATAAGAAGATTCTTTCATTTTCATTTTTCAAATTTATTCCACCTTTCCAAGCAATAAAAAAATTCCAACTATTTTCCTTGATATTTCAAAATTGAGCTGGAGTTGACTTGAAACCGGCAAATCAATGGATGCAAACAAGGTGTGGATTTTCTTTTCCCCTCGCCCAACTCTTTAATAATGAACCCTTTGTTGTACCCGTTATCATATTTACCCAAACTTCTACTTTTTCGGAAAATTGGAAAACCTTTTGTGCCGCCGGTAATCCAATCTTTTCATCTCAGAGTTTGAGTCTAATGCTTTAACCACTATACCATGAGGTCTTTGATTTTGATCTGACTTTTTGTTCAATCTTTGGTTCTTTGATCTTTAATTATGCTCATGTTTGATTTTTCAAATCGTAAAATTTTCGGCGCCTAAAGATCAAGGCCAAAAACTCAAATCGTTTTGGACTGTCTTGTATGATGTTTGTTTTTTAAATTTTTTTTGATGTTTCGGACTCATAGGACTGTAAGCATGCGACTGTTTTGTATATGCACTAAAATTTTCCAAATCGTTTTTTTTTTTCGATACTTAAACAATTAATTGATATATTTCTCAGTCTTTTAAAACATGGCTAAAAGGGCTTTAATATGACATATCACACGTTCCATTCCGATGATTATTTAAAGTAGTTGATTTTAGGTTTAAAAAAGAAACAAAACAAACTCATTCTCAAGGTCGGAGCAAACACAAAACTAACCGATTGCCGTACAAGAAGCAGCAAAATGCTCAAATCACAACCACCTTTGCGAAAAGGTTTTTTATTAAAGCAATACTAGCCGTACTAGATTTTTTCACCCGAAAACAACTTTTGCTGGTCCGTGCCTATAATATATTCGACTCCAATCACAGTTTCTGCACATTTAGCCGAGAGGCGACGGTCAAGTTTGAGGCGACAAATGTGGTGGGTTCAAAATTCTAGCCGAGAGCCGGATTTTGAAAGCGGAGAATTTTCCACTATTTTAAGCAACTTTACCCAAATAAAAACCTATTTTTAATTTATGTAACTAGAGGGCAGCCAGTTAAAGCTGGAAACACCTGTTTGATAATTTTTGATTTTTTTGTACTGATGCGGAAGGACAAGGGTAATTTGATTTTTTCGAGGGTCATAACTTCTTGTGAAAAAAAGCGTAACCGCTTAAGCAGCGGAGCTTCCCACAACCCGTTCTACTCATTGGAACCAAAACCTCAGATTTGGGAGGGTACTTTTCAAGAAATTTTGACTTTTCCGAGGGTTACAACTTTGTGTAAAATGATTTGGGCGTGATTGCTTCTGCAGGGGAGCTTCCCACAATACGTCCTTTCAATTGAAACTAAAATCTCAGATTTGAGATGGTAGTTTTCGAGAAAATTATCAAAAAATGGTCAAAAATCAAAAATTAGGCGTGACCATTTATGCAGCGGAGCTTCCCACAACCCGCTCATCTGATTGAAACCAAAACTGCAGGTTGGGAGGGTAGTTTTCGAGAAAAGTCTCAAAAAAACGGTCAAAAAAATTATAAATTGGGCTTTTCTGAGGGTCATAACTTTTTGTGTGAAAAAGTTTGGGTGCTCCCCACAATCTGTCCTTTATTTTGAAATTATAATCTCAGATTTGGGAGAATAGTTTTCGACTAAAAACAAAAGTTTCAAAAAAATGGTTGAAAAAATTGACTTTTTTAAGGACCATAACTTTTAGTGTAAAAAATTGGGCAAAGCCGCTAATGCAAAGAAGTTTCAAACAACCTGTTCTATCCACCGAAACCAAAATCTCAGATTTGGGAGGGTAGTTTTCGAGAAAATGTGAAACTCCAAAAATATGGGTCAAAAAACCCCACCATACACTTTTTCGAAAGCTGTAGAAAGTGGGGTAAGGTAGAAAGAGATTAGTGGAGTATGCAGACATACAGCGGAAATGGCGGATTTCCCATTGGTACTACTTTTTTGAAAATTGGTTAGTTTTTGAGAAAAACTAAATTTTTAAAATTGAAAAATTTTTCCAAAGGGTCTTAAAAATAATAAAAAAACCTGATCCCATACATTTTCATAATACCTGTTTCAAACAGGAATTCGGGAAGAGGTGCGTAAAAGCTTTTTAAAAGAATTATTTTTATCTCGAATCTTTTTTTTTGATGACCATTTCCTT